GGAGAGGCTTTTCGAGGACTCAGCCGCGTCGTTCAGCAACGACACCTTCGGCGAAGCAGTTTTGAGAGGGATGTGACCCGGGCCGTGGATGCATTGAATTGGTTGAACGACTCGTCTACTCATGTCGGGCGGGACCGTAGTTTTACAGCAGGCGCCCTGTCGCTGGCCCAGCGCCGGTGCCTGGCGCACATCAGCAGCTCTGTGGAGGAACTTGGTGCACCTCCGCGAGATCTGTCTCCCGCAGAAGCGCTACGGCAGCTTCGCGTGGCCGGGGGCGGCTACAGCGTCGAGGAGTCGCCCCTCGGAAGCTATGACCCCGCGCTCGTCTCCTTGCCGGACGGGAAGGTGCCTCCAGTGCCGCCCTCGGACGTGTGGGGCGATGGCGGGATATCCAAGGTCGAGCTTTTTGTTCAGCAGAGTCTGCTGCCGGCTGACGTGGCGGCCGCTCGACTGGACGCATGCTCTGTCAAGACGCCCTACTCTGATCCTCGGCTGAGGTGCGCGCGAGACTGGGAGGGTTTCGTTCGTGATCTGCATGCTCGTAATTTGATCGACTTCTCGCTGGACGACGGCGCGAGGGTCGACGCGTTCTTTGTCAAGAAAAAGGGGGGCCGCCTCAGGATGGTGATCGACTGCAGGCGCAGCAACGTCGTGTTCGCCGACCCCGCGCCTGTCGCCCTGCCCACGGGGGACTCGTTCGCCGCCCTCGAGCTGGACGACCCCGAGGGCATCCTGAACGTGGAGGGCGTCGACCTGAAGGACGCGTTCTACCACCTCGAGCTGCCCATCGAGCTCAGGAGGTACTTCGTGATGCGGCCCGTCTTGGCGGGCTCCGTCGGCGTCTCCAGCCTCGGGGGACGCCAGGTCGCGCCAACGGCCAAGCTCTTCCCTAGGCTGAAGGTGGTGCCGATGGGCTGGTCGTGGGCGCTGTGGTGGTGCCAGTCCATCATGGAGCGCATCGCGGAGCAGTCGGGCTGCCCTGAGTCGCAGCGGCTGCACGATTGGCGCCCCGCGCCCGGCCTCGGCGAGTTCGGGCACCTCCAGTACGTGGACAACTTCGTCAGCTTCGGCTACGATCGTGGCGCCGTCCGCGCGGCGGTGGCGCGAGTGGCGGCCGAGCTGGAGCGTCGCGGCCTGGTGGTCACGCTCGAGGATCACGCTGGGGAGCACGAGGGCACCTTCAACGTCCTGGGCTGGGACATCGCCGCCTCGGGGAGGCTGTCCGCCTCGGGGAGTCGCCTGTGGCGTGCGCGGCTCGCTGTCAGGTGCCTTCTCAGGCGAGGCCGCTGCTGCGGGGCGGATATCGAGCGCATCCTGGGCCATCTCATCTTCATCCCGCTCGTGCGGCGCGAGGGCCTCGCGCTCTTCGAGGCCTGCTTCAGGTTCGTGCAGACCTCGTACCACGTGGAGGCCCCGCTCCCGGGCGGCGTCCGCACCGAGCTCGCGGTGTGGGGTGGGCTGGCGCCCCTCCTCTGGCGGGACCTGAAGGCGGGCTGGTCGATTGACGTGGGCGCGGTCGACGCGTCGCCGTGGGGCCTGGGCGCCTGTCAGTCCACCTGGGCCCCCGAGGCAGTCAAGTCCGTCGGGCGCTACTGCGAGCGGTGGCGCTTCGGGCGGGCGGAGAGGCCCCCGCCGCGGCGCCGCGCTCTGGCAGCCAGCCAGCGGGCGCTGGGCCAGGCCATCGCTGCTGAGGTGGGTGACCCCGCCGCCGGCGGCCCTGGGCTCGTGGCCTTCGCGTCGGCTGCTGACGCCCTGCCAGCCGAGCCCGTCGGCCCGCCTTTGGAGCGCGACCTAGCCGAGTTCCCCGAGGTCCCAAAACGTCTCCTCGAGCGCTCGGCTTGGACTGTCACGGGGAGGAGGAAGTGGGACCGTTCAGAACCGATGCCCATCCTTGAAGCCAGAGCGGTTCATTACCACCTTCGCCACGCCCTTCGGAATGCAAACAATCATGGCAAGAAGATCTTGGTGCTAGGAGATTCTCTGACGGCTGTCGCCGCCTCGTCCCGCATGCGAGCTCACTCACACGCAATGCTTCGGGTCATGCAGCGCATCTCCGCCCTGTCCTTGGCTTCTGGGTCTTACCTGTGCGTGAGGTGGGCGCCCACAGAGTTCAATGTGGCCGACGGGCCCTCGAGGGGAAGGGGATCTCCAACAAAGCCTACAGACATCATTCTTGACAAGCACGACCCCACAAAGCACGACATCAATAGCAAGCACGAGTACAGCATCATCAGCACAGGTAAGCACGACATTACCGACATGCCCAACATCAGCAAGATTGGCAAGCACGACATCAGCAAGCACGACAAGCACGACATCAGCAAGCACGACATCAGCAAGCACGACATCAGCAAGCAGTGCTTCACCGACAAGCACGACATCAGCAAGATAGGCAAGCACGGCAGCAGCACGCATGAGACCGACATCAGCACGTACGTTCCTTCGCGTCGCCGTTTTGGTTCATGCTGTCCAGCTTCGTCGCCTTCGCCTTGCGAGAGTGCGCCCCCGCTGCCTGGGCAGAGGGAGTGCGACCGGCATGCTGGGGCGGGCTCGCCGCCGGAGTCGGTCGCCGCGGAGCCAGCCTTCGTCGACCTCGGCAGCCTCGCGACCGGGCCCCCCCGGTCTGGCCGGGCCGCCGCGCTGCTCGCCAGGCCGCGCCTGCCGCGCGGACCGCGCCGGGCCCTCTGCAGGGCGTGAGGCGCAGGCCGGCGGCGGCGACGCCGCGCCCCCAGACCCCTCGGGAGCGGGCGGCCGAGGTGCGGCCTCCGCCGGGCGTGCAGGTGCTCAACGCCGCCGCGGTGCGCACGGCGAGGGGCAGGGAGGCCTACCAGGTGCTGTACACCGCGTTCGTGACCTGGGCCAGGAGCCAGCAGATGGCGCTGTCCTCGGCCGCGGACGTCGACAAGGCGGCGGTAGGCTACCTGCACGTGATGTTCAACGAGGGGAAGCACCTGACCTACGCCAACCGCCTCATCGCGGCCATCGCTTGGATGCGGCCCGAGTTCAGTCGGCACGGCCAGCTCCGCCTCCCGCAGGCGAAGCAGGCCGCTGTGGGCTGGAGAAACCTGGCGCCGCCGAAGAGCCGCCAGGCGCTGCCGATCGAGGTGGTCTTCCTGATCGTCAACTGGCTTCTCCTCCAGCGGTCCTACGAGGCTGCGCTGGCGGCGTGGCTGCTGTTCGAGATCTACGGTCGGCCGGGAGAGATTCACAAGCTGCGAGCCGTGGACCCCGTGCCGCCGCTGATGTCGCGTGGCGCGGCCCACCGCTTCTGGAGCCTGACGCTCCACGCGGCCGAGGTGGGCGACGTCTCCAAGACGAACGAGTTCGACAACTCCGTGCGTCTCGACCTGCCTCGTCATCAGCGGTTGGCAGCCAGCCTGGACTGGATGCTGGCTCGCAGGTGGGGCGCGGGCTGGAGGGCGAGCGCCGTCGCCCGAGAGGGCGGGGCCGCAGGCTTGCCCGGCTCGCTCTTCCTCATCTCGCCCGCGGACGTGCCCCAGGAGTTCCGGCGGGCGGTGACCGCCCTCGGCCTCCGCCGCCTCGGCGCCGTGCACCTGTACCAGCTACGACACGCCGGGCCGTCTCACGACTCCGCGGCCTCCTGCCGAACGCTGGAAGAGATACGCCGCCGTGGCCGGTGGCGCACCTGGAGCAGTGTGCGCCGCTACGAGAAGGGCAGCCGTCTCACAGAAGTGCTGCATCGTCTACCCCTCTGGCTGCAGCGACACGGAGGTGCCTGCGTCGAACACCTGAGCCGACCCGTTTTCGAGGTGCCCTCACCTTTGCCGCAGCCCGTCTGAGCGCGCCCGTCATACTTGAGCTGTTTTCTGGGCATGGCGGCTTCGCCCGTGCCGCAGGAGCCATGGGCTTCTGGGTCCTCGTTTGGGACCTGTCTCTTGGTGAACAGTACGACCTGACGCGCTCTGAGAATCGTGGCAAAATAAACGCGTGGCTCCGAGCAGGTTTGCTGCTTGGCTGGCACGCTGGCGTTCCATGTAACACACCCACGCGGGCCAGAGGATACGGCATCGGTCCACCAGCTGTCCGGTCAGACGAGCATCTGTTTGGGCTTCCCGATCAGTCGTTTAAGTTGCAAGCTCAGGTTGATGCCTCCAACTGTCTGAACAAATTCGTCGCATCGCTTGCTCGTGCCTCTCTGGCCCTCAGTGTGCCGTGGTCTGTCGAGAATCCCAAGACCTCTCGGCTCTGGCTCTTGCCTGACTACAAGCGCCTCATCCGCCGACGAGGTGTTGAGCATGTTGTTACTTTTATGTGCATGTGGGGCACCCGGTGGCGGAAAGACACAGGGCTCCTCTTGGGTTTGCTGGGCCCCACGCCGTGGCGTGACACCAGATGCCAGAGCTCTAAGCCAACGTCATGAGATCCTCAGTGGCAAGAGACCCGACGGGACTTTTGCCACTAGTGCTGCCGCCATATACCCAGTGCGCTTCTGTAAAGCTCTGGCGCGGTCATTTTATAATGCTCACGTTGCAAAGATTGCTGCCTCTTTCCAGAGGCATCTGTGAGAATTCGGCGATACCAGCTTGCAAGCATGCCTGCAGATTTGGCATGTAAAGTGTGTGCTCTGTCGACCTCGCCGTGGCGTCTCGCGCCACTCCATTTAGCTCGCCCTCACACCTGACCACTGGCAAAAACGAGCTCTGATGATATTTGTGCTTGCACGGTTTTCATCTGCGCAATCCGCCGCCATTCGGGGGCTCAAGGCGCACCATCCAGCCATACCCACCTCCTACCTACTTTCTTTTAACCTTGCTCCTTGGCATGTAAAGTGTGTGCGCTGTCGACCTCGCCGTGGCGTCTCGCGCCACTCCATGCAGCTCGCCCTCACACCTGACCACTGGCAAAAACGAGCTTTGATGATCATCGCCATCGTCATCGTCATCATCAGCATCAATCCCTCATCCTCATCCTCATCGTCCTCATCAGCATCCGTCCTCTTTGCCCTCTGCGCCCCCTTCCGCCCCCCTCCCCCCGCGCAGGACGGCACGGTGGCGACGGAGTCCGCGGTGCAACAAAAGCTGGACCCCGCTGACCCTCTGCGTCTCTCGCGCCCGAGATGGCGGAGGAGGAGGACAAGAAGGAAGAGGAGGACGACAAACAAGAGGACGAGCATTGTAAGGCGGAGGAAGACAAGGAGCCTGTTGTTTTACCTCCCTGGGCCATCACGCGCGTTACGGCCCTTGCCCCCCACCATTACGTAGCGCTCCCTCTCCTCAGTGCGCCCCAGGCACCGCCGCCGTGCGCTCGTGCACCACAGTCTCGCAGCAAGGTGCAGTCCCAGCGCTTGCGTCTCCTCCGAGGCTACTGTGGCGTTCGCAGGATATTTGCTACTGTGGCGCTCGCGCTGCTGTGGCGCGGTGCTCGCAGGCATGCTTCGGATGTTTTGGTGCTCGCAGGCATGCCCAGCACTCGCAGGGTGTGGTTATCGCAGATTGCTGTGGCATTAGCATGTCGCACCTCTCTCGGGCCATTGCGGTCCCGACACGGTCCAGCTTTTTGTTGTGCATGCGCGTGGTGCCCGCAGGCTTTTGCACAATTGCTGCGGTCTCGCCTTCCTCGCCAATGGGTGGCCGCGGGCAAGTATCTGTACTCTCAGGCATTTGTGATGCTCGTAGGAGTAGGAGAAAGAGGAGGAGAGGGACGTCGACGAGGACGAGGATGGAGGTAATGAGCATACCGCTTATACGCCACGTGGGCAGCGACGCCTTCGTAGGCACGTGCTCGCCAGATCTCCTCTTCGCCTCGTTGTTTTTCGTCGTCGGCCGTCGTCGTCGTCGTTGTCGTCGCGCGTTGTCGCTCGCCGTCGCCCGTCGTCGTCGAACGCCTTCGAATGTCTTCGAGGGCCTCCGGAGGCCTTCGGAGGACCTTCGGAGGGCCTCGAGCCCAGAGGGCTCCGGAGACCTCTGGAGACTTCTGGAAGCCTCAGGGCGTCGCTCGTCGTCGTCGTGGTCGTCGTCGTCGTTGTCGTCGCTCGTCGTCGTCGTCGTCGTCGTCGTGGTCGCTCGGCTTCGTCCTCGTCGTCGTCGTCGCTCGTCATCGCTCGCCGTCGTCCGTCGTCGTACGCCTTCGAAGGCCTTCGAGGCCCTCCAGGAGTCCTCGGAGGACTTCCGACGGGTTTCTGGAGGCCTCCGCAGGAGGTCTCCGCAGGAGGCCTCCTGAGGGCTCCAGAGACCTCTAGAGCTCTAGAGACCTCTGCGAGACCTCCGGGCGTCGCTCGTCGTCGTCGCTGTCGTCATCGTTGTCGTCGTTCATCATCGTCGTCGTCGTGGTCGCTCGCCGTCGTCCTCGTCGTCGTCCTCGTCGTCTTCGTCGTCGTTCTCGTCCTCGTTCTCGTCCTCGTCGTCCTCGTCCTCGTCGCTCCTCGTCGTGCGCTCGGACGAGGCGGTGGTGGCTCCCGAGGCAACCACCTGCTGTGCAGCTGGGCCCGTGGAAGATTCAGCAGCTGGCCCCCGATGTGGCGTTGCCAACTCCTGAAGCACGCGCGCTGCACGGCGACAGCACCCAGCACCCGAAGTCTGGGGTTTGCCTCCACACCTTGCGCAGCGCTGCCCGCAAAAAGCATTCAAGGAGCATCAGTTCGGGGGTGAATTAATGATCCGATGGGAGGGGTGGGGCAAGGTTCCACTCCCGCTGGTGGCAGAAGCTTTGGATACCCTCCCAATGCAGAGGGCAGTTTTCCCCATCGACTGCTAGGCTCCGCGCCATCGTGATGTATCGTGCGGCCTGCCATGCACTGGTCTGGGCGAGTGTGTTGCACTTGACATACCTGGGCGCGTGTCGGCGCGGCTCCCTTCGTAGCTTGTCACATTCATGCTACACGTCACGTCCCACGTTCTGGTCAATGGCACCTCGATGCGGCGCTCGTATGCCCACTCTTCGCACCAAGCAGCCAGCTTCACGGACGTGGGGCCCAGTGCGACGCAGTTCTTGAAGTCGTGCGTGTTGGAGATATTGCACTCGGAGCTCGTCACCTGCTCCTGCTCGCAATTGCCTCAACCACAACTTACGGTGGAGGCGTTTGTTAAGAATAGTCCCAGGAGGCGTCAGACCTTGGATGATTCCTTATCCAATGAGGGCGGCGGCGACATCCATGTCCGATCCACGATTGCAGTTCCTCTGGCTTCCAGACCCTGGATTCCTGATCTAAGGGTTCCTTACCCACTGCCAACACCGTACTGCGCCTCGATCTCCGAAAAGCAAAAGCCAAGCGAGCCAAGGCTCCGAGCTGTTCCCGAGCCCTCCCCCCCCCGCCCTGCGGAGCGGCGAGACACGCCGTCTGGTCGCGCAGGGTATGTCATGGTCGCTGGGGCCGCCGCGTCGACACGCGAAGCGAGAGCTCTTGGCCGTCCATTTGGACGCCCCGAATGGGTACGGAAAAATGGGTACAATGCCCAACAACAAATGCTGTCCCAAACTAACAGCGGCCTCTGTTGGGCAGGCGGCCTTCTGTCTCAAACGGACACAGCCGCGGCGGCGCGGACAGCGAGTCTTGTTCAAAATGAAACAAGAATTGCTGTTGGGCAATGTACCCATTCTTTCCGCGTACCCATTTCGTTTGTGCCGAGTCCGCATTTCTGGCGCGGACGGGGCAACCGTACGAACTTCCGAGCTCCCACAGGTCGGGTGTTACTGGAAGTGCCCCCGGACCCAAGGTGCCCCCAGCTGTTCGCTCCATTTCTGGAGCCCCATGGGTCCCCCTGGGCCTCATGAGGGGCGCTCTGGAGGCCGCGGGGGGCGTCCGTGGAAATCCTGCGGGCACCTTTGGCGCCAGGGGCACTTCTAGCAACACCCGACACAGGCCCAGGATAGAGATGTGCCAAGTACGGGCGGCCGCTCTCGGGCACAGGCACAGTGCGGCCTCAGGATCACAGGCTGCGCCAAAGAGAGAAAGCTGCCCAGCGAGCATGGGAACGTACCCCTTGCGCCCACGCACGCGAGGGAGGCACTCCTCATCGCGCGCTTCTCTTCGGCGACCAAAAGAGGCCGCACTTCAGACGGAGAGGCGGCGAGCGGTACCCACCCTGCGGCACCGGCCACACCGGCAGAGGGCGACGGCGGCGACCTCCGAGAGCCCCCGGAGAGCATCCGAGGAGCATCCGAGGAGCGCCGACGGCCCTCGAGAAGGCGGAGAAGGCTCCGAAAGCCTTCGAGAACCGGCGAGCATCCGAGTGGGCGCTCTGGGGGGCGCTGCGACGTGCGGTGCCCACCCGCCCGCGCCCTGCAGCGAAGGCGCTGCTAGAGGGAAGCTCCGGAGGGGGCTCGGGTCCGCGAGCAGCACCTCAGATCCAGAGGTCGGGGAGCGCCAGCTTTCGGTCGGGCATGTCCCCTCCAGGCGGATTCTGGGCGAAAAGTCAGATATGCCAAAAATAAACAAAGATACCCCCCAAAAACGTCCCCTGACTATGTTTGGGGCTGTCTTTGAATTTTCCTCCTGTACCCGACTCAACGCCGGCTCCCGGGCGCTGCCGGAGGTGTCCTTGAGGCCCGCGGCGTTCCCAGGGCCCCCATTGGCAGCCAGGGTGGCCCCCCAGAGCACCCTGCGCG